TCAATATTCTCTGCCTCTTTTTATTTCTGCAAGGAGCCCCCATGGTTTCCACAGTACCATGAAATGTACCATCTGTCAATCCCCACAGCTTTTCTTGTTGTCATCACTCCTTCCTATGAGAAGTAGCAGCAGAGAAATGGGTTAGGAATTCTTATGGATGAGTTTTTCAAGCAGTGTTTGACGGCATTGCACTTTGTTGAAGAAGAAGGTGATTTTCTCCCTTCATGGATCAGTGGCAGAGATCACTTTGGGCAAGAAACGCGGGGAGTATTTGAAGTGTCCACAGCAACAGTTGGTGGGGTTCTAAATAAAAGCGAAGAGGTGGTTGAAATATCCTGAGCATTCCGTAACCTTCTGAAGTAGTCTGTTATATGGAGACGACACATACCTTAATTAGCAACCGAAACAGGCTAGCTCCTGTATGTATTTAGCAACACATACACACACACACACACACACAAAGCCATGCCCCTTTTTACTATCAGCTGGAAGCATCCTTTCATGTTTACTTTTCAAACCATATACCAATCAGAGATATCAGTACTTTTAAGGAAGAATCAGATGTAGTATGAAACATTAGTGGTGAAGGAAATTAACACACCCTGCCCTGTCAGTGGCTGCCCTGTCAATGAATCTGGATTCAAATGCACATGCTGTGTTTTGTTGATGAGCAGATATATTGCAGTGAATTCTAAGGAGAAAATAATTGAATAGCCTTTCTCTGGGGCATTTTTAGACACAGAATTTCCCCCTAATGCCCCTGAAAGCTACAAGCAAGAAAATTTAATAACAGATGTTATGACACCTACAAGGCCTTCGGTAAAGCATAGCTGTTTCAATTACAATCAGGCTACACTGATGTAAAACTATTTTCAGAGGTTTACACCCTATGCAAATCTTTGTTGCTTCTTTTGCGTATTAAAAATGTGTAACCACAATCATTCTGTATTTTGATTATGCTAATACATCAGTACATTGTATATAGAATTTGACAGGCCCAAAGGATGAGGTCTTTACTTATTAAAAGTAAAACCTAGCAAATGTTTTAAGAAGTACATCCCAGAACACAGACCCCAACACATCTACTTTGAATTTAGTAGCCTGTGTTAGTGTGAAATGGACCATGTCAGACTATGCTGTATCAATCAACAGCTGAATCATCTTCCCAGATAAAGGAGATTTATTTGCCAGAGTCCATTTTCTTTAAGTTTGGATAATAGCCATCGTCTGTTTCAGGTCGTATTGAACAGCTGCTCATGGAAATGCTCAGTACAAGGGGGAGAGAAGAGCCACCTGGGGAATGTAAGATGACTTGTGCAGGTTATCTGTGTAAACTAACTGGAGTATTCTGTCTCAGCAAGCTGTCTGACGAATCATTTCTTAAAACCAAGGGAAGCACCAGTACTATGACATTTTCTAAATTGGACACATAGAGCCAAAGACTCCACACTTTGTGCATCCAAATATGCTCACCCTTTCCAGCCAAGGCTTTCTAGGAATGATGACAAACAAAGGTTACAAACCAGATGTTGTTCAGAAGATGTCTTTATCTGATTCCTTGCTAATGACTCAGTGCCCTGTTTGGCTGCGTCAGCACTGAAGTGGTTAGGATGCACTAAAATAACAGTTGCACCACTATGGCGTCATGAAATGTGGCATCGTGCTGCTGCTGCATTTATATGTCAATGCTGCAGTCAGAGTGCCACATAGGTTTACAACTGGTGTGCTAGCTGAAGTGAAATGCTTCGTTTTGTTCATTCACTGTGCATCATTCCTTCACAAATGTCTGTTATGCTCTTGGTGAGAATGGAGATCTTCTTATTTGGTGTGGTGACATGTATGACGCTCCCTATATTCCTGGGCGCACTAGAATAGTAAAAACCTCTCCACTTTCTCATGTTCTCCACAGATGTGATAGACAGAGTTTTTAATGATAAGCATGGACTAGCCGGGAAACGTGACTTGCAGCCTGAAGAAAGCATAAAAGCAGGTAACAAAATAATCTCCTTCTAATACTTTTGAGGTATATGTCTCTCTCAAAAATCTCTGAAAAGCTGCCCATGAAATGCTGTCTGACACCCTTCTAGTTTCAAAAGAGTCTCTCCTCCAAATCCCCCCAAGAGGATAAACAATCTTTCAATAGGCTGTGAAAGCCTTTGAGAATACAAATCTTTCAATAAATAGTGTTAAGGTTCTGGAAAGTCTAGATAATCAGCTGGAGGGTTGGTTACCACTTTTTAAGATGTTGGAATCTCAGTATCCCTTCCTGGACAGCTTCCTGGAAGCTTCTGTATTTATCATCCCCAGCCAGAAAAAAGAATAAGCATATTAATATTCCATTCATCTTTTATTAAGTGCCAACCACCATTCCAAATTCCTGCTCTTTCTGATCACTGTGTAGAAAGTGGGGGTGGCACTTTGTTGGTGTGAGGGCTTTTCTGCTCACCTTGGAAGTTTTCCTCAAACTCACCTTGGCAGCTTCTGTCAAGTGATAGATAAACCTTTTATCAGAGTCACATCCTGTAAGAAAGAAGGACCAGAGCCATTGTTGCTTGGGTTTCGAACAACTGACACGTTCCGTGGCTTCAGTGTGAAACTGATGTGGCTTATGGAGATTTTCAGCTGGATTGCATGCATTAGATTCTGCTGACAAGTATTTTGCATCACACACTGCCCCTTTCCATTTTAGAAGTGTTTTTTTGAGTTTGTATTGTGTGAGCATGCTTAGGACTCATTAAACACACTTCATTTTTATTCTCCACAATGGGACTGTTTTGTTCCTTGTGGTTCTACCATCTACCCAGCATAAAATCAAATTGCTACGTTGTATAAAATCTTTATAGGCATTTAGTAGCTCATGAGAATGAAAATTTGAGAGGCATTTGTAAACAACTCAGGTGTTTCAAAATGGCAGCATTTAGTATATATGATCGGGACATCACACACTTCGTTGACTTCTTCTAAAAACAGACAAAAAAATCCAGTATCTGTACCAAACAAAGCTGAATTATTCTTAAAATAGTAATAATGGAAGTAAAGCCAATCTGCATCTCTTTATTAAGTAATGGCAGGGATTAAGAATAATGCAGGGGATAGAAGCTCCTTCCAGTGACTTCTAAAAATCCATTTCAGCTCCAATCTCTAATTTCTGAAGCATCATCAGCTGGCTGTGGCTATTTTTTGGAGGCCTTGTCTTGGCCTCCAGTGGCTTACCAACACTGAAAGAGATTCAATTGGGACCTTGGGAATTTTGCAGGAGAGAGTTTGGAGTTTTTTCCTCCAGACATTGCCACAGCTGATGCCTTACGCAATGCAAATTATGGAAAGAAGATTTCATCCTTTCATTTTAATAAAGAAAATAAATGAAAGAGAGGCTTTTTAAATAAGTTAATTGGGGAACAGATATCGCTGGATAGGAGTCCAAGTAAGATGTGATACACACGTGGTGCTAGAAGGTATCAAAACAGTTGGTATTCTTGCTGCTAGTAGTAGAGATCCACTTTAATAAAACATGGCTGTTCCCACTTTACATGCTATTATTGCATGTTTCCCCTCCTTAATTCACCAATGATAACAACAAATCCGGTAACAACAGGTTAATATTTTTTAGATCCTTTTGGAAGAGCCTTGACTGATAGAAATATAATGCATACAATAATTGAATTTTTGACGTACTTGCGTCTTAAAGGTAAGTAAACTTCTTTCTTTGCTTCAAACTATTTTGGTAGTAACGTGGAGTATCTAGTTGCGTAGAGAACAAAGCACTCCCACTAACAGTGAACTCAGGTGGGGATACCAGCAGGATTTGTAGCCATAATGGGGACACTAATTATGGAAATATCAGAATATTGGGGTGGAAATCCCAAGAATTACAGGAGTGCTCTTGTCGCAGGGACAGCGAACTTAAGAAAGCAAAAAGGCCCTTCTGCACAACCCAGTAAGTATTGAATAAATATAGAAAATAGGTTGTAGTGGAATAGTATATTGTTTGACAAGGGCTTGCCTAGCTGGCATACTGAATAGAAGTACTCCACACTGCACTCAGAGATAAGTGTCAGTGAATTCAGTGAGCCCTAAGGTACAGAGCTGTTGAAGACGTACGTCAACAGCATCACCATTAAAACTTTATATTTCTCTGAGCACACATCATTCATTCTTCTGCATCTTAGCCTATACACTCTAGGATTGTCCTCCTGGATATGACACCCACCACCCACCAGGGGCATAGCAATGTGTGCAAGAGGAGAGTGACATGGTCTCATTGGGTTTCCAGCTAGGCAGACACAGGTGTATGGGAATACGATGGCCATAACTTGCAAGGAGAATCTTATGTGCTGAGATTTTCTATATATGCATTCAAGACCTCATGCCAACTGTGAAATGCTCGCAGCCCATGTAATCTATGTACTGGGGATCAAGAGACAGTTTGCTGTATAAATGGAAAATGGTACACAGGGATCTCCTGCGATTGCAATGGGCATTGTATTGCATGCATACCCAGCTGAGGGTGAGCTTGGAATGAGAAAAAAGGGGAGAGAGCCATTGAGCCCTATAGTGATCCCTTCTTGAAGCCAGTCCATCATCTGTACAGCTTGTGCTTGCTGAATTTGCATAATTGCCTTAAAAAGCAGTTTTATTTAGGGAAGCTCAAATAAAGTTCAGCTTCAGCTTCTCTAAATAGTTTGGAACCAGGATATTTAATCTACCCACTCATTTTACTTGCCACCATTAATAGAGGTACCGTTGGCTAGGATGTAAGACAGGGTGTTCTTGGTGTGTCACCCTGACTCTGGAACCTCAGCTTTCAAAAAAGGACACTCATTATTCCATCATAACCTTGACTTCTTTAATTTTTTCCCCTAAAGAACTGTTTGTTCTTTAGCTCTGTTACAATGCTCTAGAGTTTGTTTGTTTGCAGCATGTAATTTTAATGTTTAAGCGACCTTGGAGGAGCTTTTCGGAAATCCAAACAGGATACAATTGTTTTTTTTAGTTAATAATTATGTATAATAAAACATTGCCAAACTTAAAATTCTATCTATGCCAATAGTAAATATCTCTTCAGTCATTAATAGATCATTATAACTGGATTATTTAGTATAAAAACTCAAGACAGACGCTCGTGTTTGAAAACACCACTCTTTTCAAATGAGGAACAATAGTTCCATAATTATTTGAGGGAAATTATGTTAATGAAATAAATTGGTTTCAGGGAATTCCAACCTTTATTTAGGTTTTTAGACAATGTGGTTTGTTCCCTTTTTACACGCATGGTACATAGAAAATGCTACAAACTGTATGGAGCCCCCTCACTACTCTTGTCCATGCGCTCGTAATCTCGATATTAGACCATTGTAACGCGCTCTATGTGAGGCTGCCTTTGAGATTGATTCAGAAACTTCAAATGGTGCAGAATGCAGCAGCCAGGCTTCTTAGTGGGGTGAGGAAATATCAGCATATCTCCCCCACTCCGGCTGCTTTGCACTGGCTGCCCATTCGTTTCCGCATTGATTTCAAAGTGCTAATAATGACGTACAAAGCCCTAAATGGTTTGGGACCTTGATACTTGTCAGATCGTCTTCTCCCACCTAGATCTACCCGAATCAATTGACATAGCTGAGGGGCCTAATGCAAAGAGAGGCCTGGAAGGAAAGAACAAGAAACCGGGCCTTCTCGGCAGTGGCCCCTTGGCTATGGAACAACCTCCCAACAGAAATCTGTCTGGCACCCTCGCTGGGTCTTTTCAAAAGCCATTTAAAAACTTGGCTCTTTAGGCGGGCCTTCCCTCCAATCCATTAACTGGTCTTTATTCTTTGTTTTCTGACCTATTTTATCTTGGCAATGTTTTAGAAATGAGTGTTAAAGTGTTAAAGTCTCAGCTTTTGGAGGATTTTATTTTGTTTGTTATATTGTTGTGTTTTTATCATGTATGTAAGCCACATTGAGTAGACTTTGTCTTTTGAGTCCCTTCACACCAACCTTTCTCCAGTTCGAATCAAAATCCAAACCAGCAGAAGATTTCTATCTTCCCTCTTCTCATTCCCACCAACCTCCTTTTCCCTACTTATCCCCAAAGAATCCTCCTGTCAGCTCCCCTTCGCTCAATAATTCTTCAAATAGATATTGCCCTGCCACTACCCAGAATAAAAAGGAAAGACACAGGTGACATGTTTTACTGGTGCCACATATTTATTGATCAACAGTTTAAATCACCCTACCCTTCAGTGGGGCTTCCCAGAGTGCAGATCCTTGGGCAGCAACCTGTGAGGCAAAGCCAGCCAACATCTGCAAAGTATCTCTTCTCTAAAAGGCATGAGCAGCGCAGAAACTGAGAGGCAAAGAGGCTGTTCATAGATGGGCATTCCTTGTGCAGTTGCCTGCAGGAAGGGAAGCGTATTCAGTGCTTACTGTATCTGGTCAGCCCTGAGCAGCATGGTTTATGTGCCCCCGTTATGTTCCTCAGCTAGAGCTTGGAAAGGTTACTTTTTCAGACTACATCTCCCAGAATCCTCTTAACAAGGAGGGCCATGGAGGTGACCTTCTCAGGCTCTATCCTGAGCATTCTGTTAATACATACCTATGAAATAAAATGTATGGGAAAGGAATTTCAACCCTAATTCTGCATTGGTTGTTGTAGGTTTTTCAGAGAATCCAAATGACAGAATATTTTCGTTAGATCATATTCTATAAGAGGGTGGTCTGTTCCATTAATTTGTTGCTGACCACCTTTCTCTCTACACATGCACACACTTATTTCCCCCCTCTTTTTCTGTTTATTGCAGAAGCTGGAGCCTTTGATAACATTTCTACAACAGTCTCTTCAGAAGAAACAGATCAGTCCTGAAAGAAAATATATGCATTCTATGTTAGAAATTAAGATCCTGAATCAGAACTTTGAACAAAATAAGAGGATGATTTATTGTTTACATTTATCTGATAAACTATCACCCATGGTCCACTTTCCTTTTGTCTTTTCCTTCCCATTGATATTACATTGTAAGAGTTTTCCTCAATTAAAAAAAAACTATAATTGATAAAGTGACAAAATAAAATGAAACAGCAGCTGCATCTTGTTTCACTTTTGTTAGAATACACGGAAACGTCTCCTGGACTATAGACAAGGGGGCTACTCTGCCTTTTAGAATTCCATTTTCATTTAAGAATGGAGCTAGAAATTACAGCAGTTGTCCTCTATTCTGATCTGGAGAAAACAAAGCAATGTGTGGAAGTAAAACTTGCTTTTCAGGTAAGGGAGAACCTCTGTGGATCTTTGTCCAGGTCTCTCTCTGAAGCAGTGGTGCACAACCTGTTCTCCTGACTGAGGTTGCGTTTGGCTCCTCTCTCTTATTTACTGAAATAACCTTTCCCCCTGTCTTAGCCATCTTGAGCAAGAACATTGCAATGGGCTTGGATCTCTCATTTCTGAGCAATCCTGTCATTTCCCCTCTTTCTCTCTGTATGCATGTGCATGTAGGCATGGATTTACATGTGTATGTGTGCTGCCCTTACCTCATATAGACTTGAAACTGAAGGTGATAGGCAGGCTCCATAAGGTGGCATGATGCTCCCAGAGCGTTTTGACTTAACCAGAATCTTGTTGATAAATTGTTGAAATTCTCCACAGAGGAGGAATTGTACCCTTGGCTGCCCTTTCTTTGTAAAACCAGCAAAATTTAATCCGCATCTTCTCCTGAGGAAGGATGCCTCCTTTAGCCAGTTTGGATATCCAAAAGTTGACAAATTAAGAAAGGAACAAATCAAGACATCCAGATTGGGAGGTTCATAGCTAATGAAATGGGCATCTTCAAGAACGTGGTAATGTGAAATCCTCATAACTTTACATGAAGATGAAGGAAGCACGCCAAACAATGTTCTTTGAGATGTCTCTCCAGAGACTTGGAAGAAGACGCAACTGAAGCAAAAGACTGCACAGAAGAAATAATAATAGAACTTTATCTGGAACTCTTAGTTCTTTGTGTGGAGTACTTTTTCTCTAGCGCTTTCTCGCGTAGTGATACCAGAGGGTACTGTTGTGCAAAGAAACAACAAAGTTGCATTAATTTTTATATTGTTCTTTGATAAGGCAGACCAGAAAAGGTGGAAACAAAAGAATGTAATGCTCATTTTCTCCTAAAAAGATAGATGCAAACCCCATTCAGAAAAGGGTTAACCTGAATGTGTGAGCATGAAGAGAGTTTTAACCCCATCCCTTGCTTGTCGGTTTCTCCATGTGAAGAAAGACAGTTTGAAGTGAAGACAGCATGTCACGTATGGCGTTCTCTCACACGTGGAGGCTTTTCTGTCAGATAGCCCCTCACTCTGCGGAGACAGCAAGAGACAGGGGTAGTACAACTGATTGATTAAAAAAATATTAAAAAATTTTTATCCCACATTTCTCCAAGGTGGCTCCTTTTAGAACTCTCTCTCTGCTCATACGTTCAGATTAATCTTTTCCTGAACATCTGAATCAGGTTTATATACAGTATAGCCTGTAGCCACGTGATCTGTTTTATGAGCACAGGCAAGTGTTGTTCACAGTCATGAAAGTGGGATGGCAAAGGTTCTTTGTCATGAATGAAATCAACTGCTCAGAAGCAGCCTGATTGCCTGTTTTTTTGGAGCAGTGGGGCTGGGGTGCATACACATCATTCATGTCCTGGAAGGTTGTTTCAGCAAGATGTTAAGAATTAATGATGCCTAAAAGCTGCTGATTTCTAGCCTCATTTAAATTCCTCAAGAGGAACAAGACCTGATATGCAAGGAATGAAGAGTATAAAACTTACATATCTTCCTCTGAAGGCTCAGTCACTCTAAATCAAGCTGCTTCAAGTTAATTTCGCATTCATGAGGTATCATCTGTTCTGGTAAAGCCAGCCAACCCTCATGCGGCCCAGAGCACTTTCGTTGGTCTGGGTGGAAAGGGAGAAATGCGGAGAGGGGGTAAATCAACTGCTTGAGTTCTTGGCTGAGGGTGAGGAATGAAGGAAGGAGATACTTTTAATTTTCAGCCTTAAAAAGATGTAAAAAGAGCATTTCCCTGTCGTAGCATTAGACCCTCATAACAAACTGAAACATAACTAAACCACACTTTCAGTTGGGTACAAAAAGTTAGTGACTCAGCATTTACAATACAGAAAAGAAATGAACTGAGAGAGAAAAAAAGCCCCCAAACCGGTGATTGGTGATTAATATTTGTCGTACTATACGTATCAGGCCCATAATCCAAGAAGGCAGGTTTTGGGGAGAGCTGCTCCCTGCTGTGACCTTAAGCAGTCTTTGGGTGATAAGACTATTTGCTACCTCCTTCTGGCAGCAGATGTTGCTATACAGCAAGGCCTGGAAATATGCATCTGTCACACTGTTGTTCTATTGTGATGGACAGGAGTGGTTACTGACCTGTCCGTCACAATATCTTTGGGTTCATACCTCCTCAACTTGCTCCCAACTTCCTCATGTTAACACGATCACTTGTACAGAGCCTAGAGATGCACCCCTTGTATTCCCATCACATCTGACATACGAGTGAAACTCATCTCCAGATCAATCTGGACTTAGGCAAGTTCCTTGTGGCATTTCGAAACTCATCTCCAGATCAATCTGGACTTAGACCACAAGGAACTTGCCTATTTCTAAGTGAGGATACAGGAGCTGTAAACCAGTCTCTTATCCTTAGTGTTACCCAGTGTGCTGTAGTTCACTACAGGAGCTGTAAACCAGTCTCTTATCCTCAGGGTTACCCAGTGTGCTGTAGTTGATAGACTGGTGGACTAGGATTCATGAGACCTAGAACCTTCACCACCAGCTGTCCTGACTGGGGTTTCTGGGAGTTGCAGTTCAAAAGCATCCGAGTAACAAAGGTTAAGAACCACTGCTGTAGTTGATAGACTGGTCAACTAGGATTCATGAGACCTAGATTTCAATCCTTGCTTAGCCATGAAAACTCAAAGGAAGTGGAGCAGATAAAACTGGTCTTTAAATATCTCACTTACTTTGACAGCCGTGTTAGGCTTCCTATTAAGTTGGAAGGTTAAGAACCACTGCTGTAGTTGATAGACTGGTCAACTAGGATTCATGAGACCTAGATTTCAATCCTTGCTTAGCCATGAAAACTCAAAGGAGGTGGAGCAGATAAAACTGGTCCTTAAATATCTCACTTACTTTGACAGCTGTGTTAGGCTTCCTATAAGTCACTTCTGAATTAACAGCACATCACACATGTAAGGCTGTTAGCCTAAATCATGGAATCATAGAATCATAGAAGAGTGAAGTTGAAAGGGCCCCACAAGGCCTTGATGCTCAAAGCAGGAATACAGTCCAAGCTAGTTGATTATCTAAGTTGTTCTTTAATACCTCCAGTGTTGGAACACTCACCAACTCCCGAGGTAACTGGTTCCACTCTTGTACTGCTCTAACAGCTAGGACGTTTTTTCCTGATATTCAACTGAAATCTGCTTTCCCTTAACTTGAGCTCATTGTTGAATTTCTGCATCCTGGGATGATCAAGAACAGGTCCTGCCCCTCCTCTGTATGGCAGCCTTTCAAATATTTGAAAAGTGCTATCAAATATTTCGCATATTTGAAAAGTGCTATCACCCCTCAGTCTTCTTTTCTCAAGGCTAAACATGCCCAGTTCTTTCAGCCTTTTCTCATAAGGCCTGGTTTCCAGCCCCCTGATCATCTGTGTCCTCTGAACTTATTCCAGTTTGTTAGCATCCTTCTTGAAGTGTGGTGTCCAGAACTGGACACAGTACTCAAGATGAGGCGTAACCAGTGCTGAATAGAGGGGGACTAGCATCTTGTGGGATTTGGATACTGTACTTCAATTAGTGCAGCCTAAAATAACATTTACCTTTTTTTAAAGCTGCATCTCACTGTTGGCTCATACTTAGTTTGTGATCCATGACAATTCCAAGATCCTTCTCGCTCGTAGTTTTGCTGAGTATCTTGTAACTGTGCAATTATTTTCTTTTTCCAAGGTGAACTACCATGGCTTTAGAAGCAGTGTTGGCAGCATGTTTCACTGTGACCCTCTTTTGCTTGGCAAGCGTATTGGCCTCTGTATAGACATTCAGAGTTTCAGCCTTTTATGGATCTGGTAGGGCTTGCAGAGTGGGGAGAACCTTTTCCAACAGTTGTTTCTGATAGGCACCCATCACTACCTGGTAGTTAGAAATTAGGATCATCAGCGCTGCTAGAAAGTAAAGAAAGTAAAGGGAGTCATAAAGGACCTGCTGCGGGACTTACCGTATTTTTCACACCATAAGACGCACTTTTTTCCCACAAAACAGGGGGGTGGAAAGTCTGTGCGTCTTATGGAGTGAAGAAAACAGATTAGATTTTCCTGTTTTCTTCTCCTAAAAAATTGGTGCGTCTTATGGAAACGTGCGTCTTATGGAGCGAAAAATACGGTAGCTTGCTCATCAGGATAACATGGGGCACTTTGTCAAAAGCTTTGCTGAAGTCCAGATATACTACATCTACAGTATTCCCTCTGTCTATCAGGGAGGTGACTTGATCAAAAAATGAAATTGAATTAATTTGGCAGGATTTTCAACAAATGACAAATCCGTGTTGGCTTCTAGTTTTTATTGCATTGTTTTCTAGGTGCTTGAACAACGACCGTTTCACAATCTGTTCCAGAATTTTGCCTGGGATTGATGTCGGGCTGACTAGCCTGTAGTTCTCAGGTTCCTCTTTTTTGCCCTTTTTGAAGATAGGGACAACATTAGCCCTGCTCCAGTCCTCTGGCACCTCACCCGTATCCAAAGATTTCAAGAAATGAATGGCTAGCAGTTCTGCGAGTTCTTTAGCCAGTTCTTTCTGTACTCTCAGATGTAGTTCATCCGGCTCTGGAGATTTTAACTTGTGCAATCCTGTATCTCCCCCCCCCTTTCACATTTCCAATTTATTTGGAAGTTCATTGTCTGTCTTATGGGAAAAGACTGGACTAGGATAGGAATTGAGCACTTCTGCCTTTTCTTTGTCCTCTGTTATCATTTTTCCATCTATTGCGGAGCTGTGCCACTATGACATTTGTTTGAGTTCTGCTACTCAC